CTCCTCACAGCTTTCTCCTTGCCGGGTGGAAACGGTGTCGGCAGAACCCCCTGCTGGCCCCTCCTTGCCAGTTGGAAACAGTATCGGCATAACCCCCTGCTGATCCTCTAATGACGTCATCCAAACCTTCCATGCTGCCAGTTGTTGCCATGTCAACGAGAGCTGGAACAACCTCTGTAAAAAATTAAACAAGCGATCTAGTTGAGTAGGAATTCGTATAGTTGATTGTACCTCATGTCTTGATGATGATGATAGTTGAGTAGAATAGTAGTTGAGTAGTAGTTTTTATAGAAGAGTTCTATAGTATGACTGTATAGGGCATGTAAAGAAATGCTCATCATCTGTAAATGTTACTAAAACAACTAGCAGAGCTGAAACCGCTGAAACACCAGAAATCAAAAGACAGGCTAACAGTGAGCTGTCTTTACTGTACGTTGTTACTGATGCTATGCAGGGTCTTTGAGAGTTACATTGCAAGAGTTAGTGAACTGTCCCTTGGCCTACATACTGTTCATGCAATGAATGTGGGCTTCGGCTTATTTTTTACGTGTTTGTAGGCGTTCGTTTTGTATATATTTTCAGTTGCGTATGGACACTCAACTGCCAATAATACTGTCGTGCCAATTTAATATATAGCAAATGCTTTTCTGTGATTTAAAAGAGATTTAAAAGTTCGTCACAGCCTCTCATCATTAATGAACCGTCCCGTTGTTTTCACACTCTCCCGTCTGGCGTCAGGGCGGGATGGAATCCAGATGTGCGAATTTGTCGGGGCTCACGTAGGGGTTTACAGTATACTCACGATTAGCTTAGTCTTAGATTTACGCTTTAATCAGCACCAACACAAGAATCCCTTTATAACAGTTGATTTGTTTATTCGGTCCGTAAAATTGCACACTGGATTGCAGGAATATTTTAGATAATTTTTGATGCGACACACGACACAATCTCGTAACCCCCTACCGACCCTCGACCCTCTCTGTTTACGTTGTCAACTTCCAGGCGGCAGCTGCTAACTTCCATCATGGAGGTTAACCTTTTTTTTTTAACCTCCTTGCTTCCATGAACAATAATTTGAGAGGCAAACATTCAAACGTAGAATCCAGAAATTTCTCAGACAATTCCACATCCACACTACGACATTTTTGCATAGCTGCACTGAAACAACTTTTGAATCTCTATGACTGAATTATAAACAGCACGGCCCAGATCACACGAGCACTGGCCCATACGCACGCCGCCACACAAATATTATGAACCGTTGTTTGCCAACTCTACAATCCTCTGAATACCAACTACATGCCGACTTTTCCTACCTGGAAGTTAGTTGATACACAGTCCGGGCCGAGTCGCCTGTTGAATCACTGCAAAACCCCTCCAAAGACGGAAAACTGCTCAAGATGCCGCGTCCTTGCGGGACAGGAAGGCGCGATGCGGTGACCCGGAAGTACTCCCCCGGCCAGAGGTCAAATCTCGTTACCTGATTATCCAACAAATGTACACGTGCTTTGGAGGGAAGGCTGGTAATCGGGAATAAGGCCATGTTGATATGATTATATGGATGACATCCGCGCGCGCCGAATTTTCGGCCGTTTCAAAAAAAAAAAAAATTCAACCACACTGTAAATCGTACAAAACACTTGCAAAATGAGCAAAAATATACTATAAGTTACAAAAAAAAATCAATAACAAGGAAAATCGTAGATTTTGTACCTCCGGGTATTGTAATGTATGTTGCAGAATGTTGGGTGCATGTTGGGACTGTTCTTTAAATTAGTGAATTCGCGCGAATACCATTTTTTTCGAAAAGTTTCGAAATGTTTGTAATTGGCTAAATGATCTGTGAAATCACTAATCCCCCCTAGCCGACTGGAGCCCAAAAATAGAAAGGACAGGGGGCATCCCGTGGCGAATCTGGCTGCCCTACCCTCAGCGACCAGCGATAATGTAAACAAACACCCACACAAACGGCCGCGTGAGAAATCAACTTGCTCTCGAAAATTTATCAAGCCG